TTTAGGTTATTCATTGACCTATATGGACCAAGCTGTGGATTTTCTTGTCCTGTTTATATTTTCAGATCCAGGACTTCGGAATATGCAGGTACTCACACCTATGAACTCTGGGGCATTATATTTTTTATTTATTTTTTCCTTTTTCCTATCTTTTCTTTTCTATTTTATATTATTTGTCTATTCATTTATTTTATTTGTCTTTTTTTATTTTTAATGGTTTATATGGGGCCCCATATATGTAATATATATGTATTTACATATTTTACTATACATGTATATCAAGTATGCAATATGTCTGCGTCTGTTTTTGATATGAATATCTGTATGTATTTTTTCACTTGATGATCTTTTGTTTAAAATAACTTTTATTATATATGCTGGGTAATGCTTATCATAGGATAATGTGTAGTGGTATGACTAAATCTGAACTGTACATATGTAAAAATAATGATATTTCAGTTTTGAGTATCTATGTACTATGATTAAATGCACTAACGGAAGGGTTATGTATCCACTAGGACTTTTGCAAATCTTATTTTCACACCAAAGTACTGTATATGGTGTGCATTGTGCCTCCTTTAAAAAATAAGAGAAACTTCATTTTATTGCTGCTTCTAGTTTTCTATAACACATTGTGGTTGCCCCTGCTGATCAGTTCAGTCACCCGGTTGCCAATAGCAACGCGTCCTATACGCACAATTTATGTCTGAAACGTCACACGCGTGATGACGTCGTGCGTTGATAACATCAGATGTTACGCATATGCGATGACGTCTCTTAGGAACCCGGAAGTCATCCTACTTGTAAAACAGACCTAGATATGTTACTCTTTATTTGCATGCCTTATATACTGTTTGCACTTTAATTGTACTATTTTTATCAAATTTCTACCTAATAAAATCTTTTTTATGTGCAAGATTAATTTGGTGTGCTTTGGTTTTTTCAATATCACAAATGTCATAACCTGACGTATGACAAAGGTGGCACCTTACTGAGCTCTTCCATATGACCAATTTTACTACCAATGTTTGCTTATGGAGATTCCACTATTATTTGCACCTGTTGGCAATTGGTGAAGCATCTGAACACAATAATTAGTAGAGTCTCTACATCCTTTTACCCATATAGTGAATGCTTTAATATGGCAATGAATGATTTCCCAAATATGAGTGTGCATATAATTATTATTGGCTATAAAGATTTGTGTATGAATGTATGTATAGGTAGCTAGTTATTTGTATAGGTATGTGGCCAATTAGGTGTGCATGAGAGAGAATGGCTTATAGTGTGTGTTTGAGTATAGATAACTAAGTGTGTGTAGATTAATACATTGTTGCTGTAGAGGTGTACCCAACATAGTATCTCGGGTACTCAAATAGTAAATGAGAATATTGCATGAATTGTAACACTTGGTCCTGGCTCCCAAATTCTAGGTATTGTTATCATCTCCAATTGTATGTGATAATCATATGCCTTTAAATGTGTATTATCCATATGATAAATTTCAGTATATCATGAAGATACTCATAACTAGCATCAACCATTGATTTCTATCTTGTATATCTACTGTCTCTAAAACCTTTCCTGTTCTATTAACTTTGCATGAACCAGTGCACACAAATGTGCTGTTTCAATCCTATGGGTAAAGTCATGTGGCTGAATTGATTCACATGGGGAGGGAACCATTGATTCTATGTACCACCATTGTCTTCATGGATCACTTCTGGTGAGGATGTCTCATCAAAGAAATGCCATGTCTCATCAAAGAGTGTGCCACTCGCTTGGGGGGTGGGGAGAGGGGGTGTCGTTCAGCTGCGGTAATTGCCTTGGAATTGGTTTTCACCTCTATCTATTCATGGAACTTAATTTCTGATTTATGGTTACACAGTAATGACTCTACCCTGCTTTAATGAATGCTTCCAGTCCATGGTGCGTGCTTACAGAACCAACTTTACCTAAACTCCATTGCTGCCCAAGTCTAATCTAGTATCTATGTGTGCTCAATGTACTTACTGCTAGCAGAGAAATCCCACTAAGTACCACCAGCTATCCCATCTGTTGTTTGTTATATTTGGAACATCTTTTTGAGGGACTGTGTTCAATTCTGTATGTTTTACCTTTGAAATAACACTTTGTCCATATGCTATTGGTTTATTAATCATTTGAAAAGACCTCCGCTTTGAATTTTCTGTACATTGAAATCCCAGAGCGCTATGCTCCTGGGATTTTACAGCAACTAAAAAGAGTTTCTTTACCTGGATTGTGTTTTCCAATAAGCCTCAAGTGTAGCCTGCTTACTTATACAGTCAGTATTTGTGTTCTGCCAGAACTAACTGAAAGATAATACCCAAAACACTCTAATACCTACCTTGTGTTTTGAAGATCATTAAAACTTGCAAATTCATTCTGTACAGCATTACAGTAGCTACATGCTGGTATTCATCTGAAGAATTACCCAATTCCCAAGATGAATGTATATCCCTTTAAGGTAAACATAACGCCAAATAAATACACATTAGCTAATTGCAAACTTATGTGTGCATTCTCTATTCTCAGTTCATCTCTAGATTGTAATCTCTATTGAGCATGGTGCTCATCAACCTGTTGTTCTTGTAACATATTTGTAATTGTCTCAATTATTTTTAATTTCTCCCTGTATAGTAAAAGCAGTACGGAATATGTTGTCGCTATATAAATACCAATAATAATAATATATATATATATATTTCAACTCTAACTCAATTGTCATATTTGAAATAAACACTTTGGTGATCTGGGTTTGGGCGTTCATTCAATCAAGTACTATTCGTCAGACTTTTACACAAATCCTTTCCCCCTGCGACGAAGGAATCAAAATCCTGTTAATCTATGTCCAAACCAATCGCACCATTACGTAATCCCAGATGGATTGATTCATCAGGAATAGATTAAGAAAAACTTGATTCATTCATCGCAGGGAGACAGGCTTTGTGCACAAATCTACTTTCCACTTATTCTAGCCTAGTACTAATCTGACGTTTACCACATCTGTGTATTTTCGCCTACTATTCTGATGTGTTCCACCTGCAATGTTCCAGTGTGCATTCAGTTTATGCTGTTCCAGAGCAGTATATTATCAGATATCAGCATACTGTGTTATGTATTACAGCTTGTCAGGTCACGTATGCTTTTACATCATGATCTAGCTCTATTTCTGTACAGAGACTATCTGCGTATGACTCCTGGCCAACTCCTTGAAACAGAGCCAGCTAGATATGATATGCAAGATGAGACTTTATCAGTGATTTATAACAGATAGTGTTATCTTATCCTGTGTTGGTGCTCTCTAGTAATAACTACAAAGACTGCGCACAGCTGAAAAGTCCAATTTCATCAGGTTCCTATCAAAAGACAACAGATTAACTGTGGGGCTGGGGGGAGGGAGGCGGTCCGCCCAGTGTGCCACTCTCTAGGGGGGAAGTCGTTCAGCTGCAGTTGAGTATCACAACATATTCATGTGAAGGAGGAGAAGAGCGGAGCCGCGCAACACTGCGTCATGGTCTGCCTTCACACTCACAGTGCTTTGCCCTGAGCCTTAGACATTGCACGTTACACAAAGGCAGAGACAGTGCCTTTTTAGGGTCTGTATGTGGGAAAAGCAGGGATTTGTAAGGACTGGACAGGGGGTTTGTGGGAGGGAACTGTGTTTACGGGCTGGACAGGCATTATGTGGGGGACCAGGGATTTGTAGGGGCTTGACAAGGGGTTTGTGGGGGGGAGCAGGGTTTGTAGGGGTGGCACGGGTTTTGTAGAGGGGGCAGGGTTTTGTGGGGTGCAGGGATTTGTATGGGGTGGCAGGGGTTTTGTGGGGGAGTGGCAGAGATTTGTAGAGGGGGCAGGGTTTTGTGGGGGTGCAGGGATTTGTATGGGGTGGCAGGGGTTTTGTGGGGAGTGGCAGAGGTTTGTAGAGGGGGGCAGGGTTTTTTGGGGGGACAGGGATTTGTATGGGGTGGCAGGGGTTTTGTGGGTGGAGCAGGGAATTATGGGGGCTGCATAGGGGTTTTGTGAGGCAACCAAGGGATTGTAAAGAGTGGGGGGGCAGGGGTTTTTAGAGAGGAGGCAGGGGCTTGTAAAGGGGGCAGGGGTTTGTAGAGGCGGGAAGGTGTTTGTCCCTAGGGAGGTATCAGTCTTAATTAGAACCAAATAAATAAAGGGTTTATATATATTTATTATATTACCATTCTTAATGTATTTTGATATAAATATTAATATCAAAATACATGAAGGAAAATGATTTATGTATATTATAAATTCTTGAAAAAATACAAAAAACAATTGTGATGTCTTTTTACATTTTAAGGGGGGTGTCTTTTAAGTGAGGGGGTGTCAATCACAGGATCTGCCCCAGGTGCCAAATGCTCTAGGTACGCCCTTGCTCTCAGTGGATATTTCATGTGACCATTGTTCTTTCCCAGATGCATTACTACATGTGCAATGCCCACAGCCACTTACCTAATGTCTTACATTCTTTTTAAACACTTTGCTTGAATATACATTCTGATTTTATTTTATTTTATAAATTACATACAATATTTTTTGTCATCTACAGAAATTCAAATATTGCTTTTAGTGAATTTTCCAAAGCATTGCCCATCTGCTAATTTTTAAGTTTTATTTTTATTTAATTTTCATCATATGATTCATATTCCAAACAATTTTTAAATGAAAATATAAAAAAAATAAAAAATCACATAAAAAACAATCAATATCTTAAATCCTTACAGGAAAAAAAAATTCAAACAACTTCATATGAAACAAAAAAAGTTTTGGGGAGGTGGAGGGGAGGCATTGCATTAATATGATTTGGGTCCTCGATTGCTGGTGGATTCCAGCCACTGACCCTTGCATTCCATCCAGGATTAAAGATTAAAAGGATTAAACATGGGTTCAAATAGGTAGATCATGTTATCTAGTATGTGGGAGTATGGCATGTGGGAGCTCAGTCCTCTCATTCCAAGTCAATGTAATGATTCAGTTCTAGTGTAGACTAACGGCACAAGTGTAGGATTGCACAATGGATGTGCCAGTTGTGCCCAGACATATACCCTGCTGTAGGGCTCGGTCTACACATTGTCCATGTTTAAATCACTACTTCCACTCGTATAGCAATGTGAAATACCTCATTATCTTGTCAAAGAGGAAGATTACCATTTTTTAAAATTATTTTCTTTTTATTGATTTTAAATATAAAAAAATTAAACAAATTACATAAAATTGCACAAGACATTGCTTAAAAATATTTTTTTCCATTAATGTAGTTACAATTCCTTACAAAACGTAGTTATCCACGACATAAAAACAAAATAACATTTTGACAGAAGGATGTATCTAAGACAGAGTGCTTGAATGGGGGGAGGAGCCTGATATCATACCATGCCAAACCTTAATTTTAGTTTAGGGTTGTCAAAAACATGGCTGCTCAGGGCTCTCAAAAAATTTCTAGGCAAAAGTTTTGTAATAAATCCATAACTTTCCATGCAGACCTCAGATCTGTTTTTTTTTTTAATTCGGCCCTCGGACTACCTGTGGTTGGACAGCCCTATCTTAGTTAATAGTGTGTTTACCTGAATCTTTACTTCTTAAAACCTTTATTCATGCTGTAGGATTTTAGTCATTCACAGTGCCATTTATCTCTAATTTTTTGTTGAATACCACGTTCTCCTATTAACTGGTGTAGTGTCTGGTTCCTAACAGTGAGACCAGTGAGGTACAGCCATCATTTTATATATATTCAAATATTTAGATGCAATAAAAATATATATTGAAAATTCCTTTTCAATTGACTTTATCTCATTTAAATTCAGGTGTAACATAATAAATTCTAGTTTGAAGTTTAATTAATTCCACAGAAGTATCTTTGTTCTTCTCCAAATCATTTGCCAAAAAGCTGGAGTGGGTTGCAATTCCACCAAATGTGCATAAAATTTGCATCCTTTGTGTCGCATCTCCAGCAATCATTAGAGGTTCAAAGAGGAAGCTTCTCATTTATTTTAGTAGATGATGTTTATCACTAAAATAGAATGTTTTTGTTTTGTTCCACAAGTTTGTATTATGAGTATTCAGTTGGTAATATATATAAAATAGTTTAGCTAAGTGTTAGAGTGAGTGTGTGAATGAGTGTGTGTGTGTGTGTATGTGTATGTGTGTGTGTGTTCTTTTCTACCTGGGATAAAGTGGGACAAATTGTAATAGATATCCAATGTGGCAATCTCATTTAAAGTATCCCCTATATACCAAACAAACAATTATATAAATTTTTTAATTCCGAGATAGACTCTTCCTCCAATCTCCAGTTCACCAAATACGTTTTTGTGTCTGTAAAAAACAAATACATACAAGTATTATTTTCTCTGAAATTCAAGTTCCTTGTCCTTATTTTCCTTGCACGTTACATTCTGAATTAAGCTGAATTCAAATAATTATTTACTGAATACAAACTATTCACCACACACTGACTTTTGAGTTACCAGTCATGTTGCATAATTTAGGCCTAATAGCCAACTTCGAAAAAACATCCAAACTAGAAAAGTTGTTGATTTTATTCAGTTAAGCACTTTTGGTCTTAAAGTCAGTTGTCAGAACTCTTCATTTCAATAATGAGATAATTTCCCTTTTCACCACAGTACCTGCATTGCTCTGTTATTTTAAAGGAACAATCAAAACACATAAAGCATTTGGTTAAGTGCTTTATGTACCTGAAGTCTGTCGATTCTTTGGCAGTTTGTAAAAGTTGTTGATATCAATGGAAGTTGGCAGTTTTATAAACTTTGCCACATGACCTCCCTGGCTGTCAATCACAGAGCCTTGGAGATGTGATTCCTCTTCTGTTAGAGCAGCACACCTGGATGTACTACTTCTCAATGAGTAGCACTACCGCTTATTGAGAAGCACTGTAAGTCCACGATCTTGTACAATCGTGGTCAAGGCTCCAGCACTGGGGCTTCTCAATGAGAATTATTTGATTTCAGTCTGTGCCAAGGATAAAGGGGAGGGCTTGCAAAGGCTTTAGACCTGCTTTTTTCCAGGCTATTTTTTCATCTTTTTCATATTATATAAGGAGATCTTTTTTTTATTCATTCACTGTTGCCTTTTGCACAAGTAGTTAAATTTAAAATCAACATAAAACTTTTAGGTGTGTAAAAGTAAAAATTAAAAAATGTAATGTAAGAAGCTACAATGGAAAATATCAAGAAGATAAGACGTCATTGTTCTGGCACAATAGCAGTATAGCAGGTGTTTATTTCACAGAAATTGTTTAGAAGTACATCCTATGATCTTTTCTAAAAGGACAGAAAGATCAGATATCAATGTGTCTTTGTTGCCAAACAAGTGCCATTGTGACATAAAATAAAGAAAACCATATTATTCCTGAATCTTTTATACTTATACAGTATATTGACAATGCACATATCCCAAAGTACAATATGATACAAAGCTCTTGCATGGCCAAATTCTCATGTAAATGAGTAGCAATCAGATGTTTTGGTGCATTACGGCTTTAATTTATATCCCACCTGAATATAGTCTTAACTTGGTTCATAAATATTTAACTATTTAAAGTGACACTCCAAACCCTTTAAGCACTTTAGGCACTTGCTCTTTTGATCATATTACAAAAGGTGCATATTTCAATAGAAATTGGCAACTTTATAAATTAACCTTGTTACACCCTTTGGCTGTCAATCAGACAAGCAGTCGTGTTACTTCTCGGTTTGTTTAGCTCAGTGGAGGCAGCAATTGCCCAGAGCACCTGCCTTGCTAAGACTTCTCATTGAGCTGTATTGGGAAGTCTGTGATTGGACAGTCACAGAAAGTCTGGGCTGGGAAAGAAGGGGGGGGGGAGGGGGGGGAATGGATTGCAAAGGCAGCAGACAAAACAACTGCAGGTTTTTAAAGATGTACCTCCGATAATAAAAACAATGCACAATTAAACGCATGAATGTTTTCATTGGGGTATATATACTAAGGAGTGATTTATTTTATATTTGGGCATTGAAGTGGTGTCCCTTTAAGGAGTAAAGAATTGTACCAGAACTACAATTTTTAAGACTTTTTGTGTAGGCCCTATGATAGATACATAAAGGCAGTATGGAAATTTATGCTACTCTATATTATTTTATAATGTTCTCCCATTAAACAATCTGATCACTCTAATGAATTAATACAAAGTTGTACAGCATGGTATGGAAATTCATAGCTGTTATTACATTATAATCTCAATAATTATCTACTGCTCTAGCATGACAAATAATTGTAGCCCCAAATCACCAGAATGGCCATCAGTTTGACACCACTACATACATTTAGAAGATGTCTGGCTGTCACCTGCCTTGTGTATCTGGTAGAGCCCACCATAGAATTTGCTAGGGTTTAGAATTCACCAAAGGAGCGAAATATCCTGTGCAGGGGCTTAATACAACCTGAGGTCAAATGTGGAGCTGTTTCTCCCCCTACTAAAACTGAACACAACAAGAGCTAGCAACACTATAAACTGACTGCAAACAGACCAAAAGGCTTATTGTATTTATTTATTTTTAAAAAGTAAAGTGTAGGTGAACAGATAAAAAAAAAAAAAACATTTTACACACCCACTTGTAGAACAATGGACGCAATTCATTTTGGGAAATAACCCGTAACCAGTGCTCTATTTTTCATGTGCAACCGACATTGTTTAATGGATGTGTCTTTTTAAATATGTTTCTGATCAGTAGACATGTCTATTAAAGTTTTGACCATAATGACATACTAGATGGATGGTATGTGTTTTTGTAAATGTAAAAATCCCCATTTGTAGATCAATACCCACAACAATGTAATCACTGTCTAATGCAATTTAATCAATACTTACATTAAAGGTTCCGGTTCTCACTTTTCTTGCCGAGAGTCTGATTACTAATGCCAAACACGAGCAGAATATGACCACACTTGAAATCACATCAATAATCTGTAGAATCAAATGGAACAGCTCGTAGGATTTTGGATTTTGACATATATTCACAAACTTGGTGTAAGGAAATGGAAACTTAATTGCGTAGCCAATGTAGTTGGTTGATGACATTCCAGCGAAAGTGTAATAGCAATAGGGACCAATGAGGATGGATGCAATGGCCACCATCAGCTGTACTGGGCTCCCCATAATGCTTAGTAAACCCAATGTGAATGTGGCTTCCCACTAGAAGATAAACAAAAAGACTACATTAATTTACCTGGTGAGTTGTAAAAGTCAATTACATCATTGTCATTATTGGATACTAATGGTTCTTTGCATGGTGGCTAGAAGTCTGGTTGTGAAATTAATTGAATATTGTGATCTAATAACATATTTACAGAAAAATGTGCAGCAAGAGGAATGCGTTCTAAGAAGTACACCATATTTTCAAACTCTGTTGTCATCCTGCCTACCAGATACAAATCACATTAATCTCAATTTTAGTGTTAATTTGTTATAACTGTAGAGCACACACACCACCAATTAAATCACAGCATTTTGTACATCAAATAATTAGTGCTGGTATCTCTAGCGAACACTAGTCCCAGGTAATCTCTTTGTATTTGCTCCAGATTAGTGAATAAACCATCGACATGGACCAGAGACTGAATCTAGAGCACATAGACATTATTTGTGACCAAAGTTTATATACAGGAACAAGCTCTAAATCTTGGCTCTTTCTAGGTTCTTAAAGGGACACTCCAGGCACCCAGACCACTTCTGCCCATTGGAGTGGTCTGGGAGCCATCTCCCACTACTCTTACCCTGCAAGTGCAATTATTGCAGTTTTTTTTATAAACTGCAATAATTACCTTACAGGGTTAACTCCACTATGCATGCGCATTAGGTCTCCCTGGCTGGTGGGCGGGATCAGTCTCACCCACCGGCCGATGTAATCACTGGGAGGAGCGGAGGAAGAAGCAGCGACGTAGGACATGTCGCTGTTTCTGGTAAGTAACTGAAGAGGTTTTCACCCCTTCAGCAACCGGGGATTGGGGTGTGGGAGGGAGAGGGGACCTGCAGTGCCAGGAAAACGGATTGTTTTCCTGGCACTGGAGTTTCCCTTTAAAGACTCTCCCTTCCCTTGATAAATGGAAAGTAGTGTTTAATTTTTATAATTTCTTTGGTGACTTTTATTCTGTTATTTATAGCGTGTTGGAATACATATCTCTATTGCAATACTATTAACAATTTCAAATAGTTTTAGGACAACAATGTTTTTTGTAAAATTAATTTGTCAGATTTGCAGAAGAATGGTCATTTTTCATATCTTTGGGTGCTACGTGCTCATTTTTAATTCATAATTTTGCAAGACCGGATTGCCCATTAGGCAGATTAAATTTGTTATACTTGCTTTATCTGTCTTATTTTGGGGTTGGTGTGTGCCTTAGAATTTTGTGCCTACAGGCACCCGACATGTAGATCCTGAACTGAGTGTTTGTGTGGTTTTCCTATATAATATTTTTCTCATACCTATTTTAAGCCACAGTCAATGTTTTCCTTGATGCCACTAGAGGGTGCTCATTAGCACTTGTGACTAATATCACTGACTCATCTAGTTCACCATGAATGTTGTTTCAAATACACTCAAGATTTATTTGAAAGATTTATATAAGTGATGAACAGGACCTGATAAATGTAGGTTGTTGGAGCAGAAGCTCTAAGCCCACACATTGAAACAAGCTTATGCTGCCTTTTTTTAATTTATTTAGTTTTGTCGTCCGCTATTTCTGCAAAGTGAATGGACAAGCCATGGTCAAGGATGCCAGAAGTACAGAATAGTCAAAACAAAGCTGGTTCAGGAACGGCAATAATAATCAATATTAAAATACACGTTGGGCAACAGAAACCACGACAAACATCTACTACCAGGAAGAGGGAAATATATGTAGGGTGAACTTCAACACTATTGGACAGCACCATCGCCGATATTTGTGATCTGAGGAGGACGTTGAAGGACCTGATCCAGAGAACGCTGTGCAACAACCAAAATGGAAGAAGAAGAGCACGCAATGTACTCCTGGGTAACGGAAGAAGATCCCTGGAGTCTGAGGCTACCACAGAGACTGAGAATGCCAAGCGGCAGCCAAAGATATGACAGCTATATAAGAAAAATTAAGGTTCCTCCTCAAAAAAATGATAACATTAGCAGATTATTTTGTGTAGAACAAATACACAAGATTATGTTGTTTTATCTGCATACGTGACACTAACTGTTAAGTGTGCACAAGACCAAGCATTTGAGCATATATGAGGTGAGTTAACACTCCACCTGTGTTTGAAGCAGAAAGCAAGGATTACATCAGTTTTGCTCTGTTTTTAGCTGAAGTACAAAACACAATATAAAGCATTAATATAATTAGAAAACAGGAAAAAGTTATATTCTGGTAGTAGGGTAAAATTCTGATAAGGTGGCATTTTTAAACCAATGAAAGAAATAAAATATTGTTAGTGACTGCAGCCCAGAGACTGAATGTCCTGTCCTAATTATCTTTGGCATGGTATCAATAGGTTCTTAGCAACGTAAAATGCTGTGCTAACTTACCAGTGACCTTTGCGTCCATTCTCGATATGCCAAAAGTGACAGAATTCCAACTGAGAATGCCTGTGAACATAGATAGACATGGTAGAATTAAATAACAATATTAATTTCAGCATATAATTCTAAAATTGACTTTCTCAAAAGCCTTGTATGGTAATGCACACACATTATCTACCCCTACTGCCCAAAGACTATTGAAGGGTTTTTTTATGGACTACTATGCAATAAGATTCTATAAATGCCAGTGTGACGAACTACACTTCGCAACTGGCTGTTGGAGAGGGCTGCTTGCCAGCCTCTTGCCCTGTAACTTTGGCCCCTGGGGTGTTTTGCCGTTTAAAAACTCTATTTGTACCTAATGGATTTCAAAGCACTGTTTCTGCCCCTTGGACTTTTAACTGGAACAGATCCAAGCATGTGGCGGCGGCCATCTTAAATTGTCTAGCAGTGTTTTGCCGTTGAGTGTATGGAACTGTTTTGGGCATGGGACCATGTGCACGGTGGGGCAAAAATAAGACTTTCAGGAAATTCCTGAACCCCTGAACCGATCTGGCTGATTTTTGGCTATGTTGTTCACCCAGATCGGGGCTATCAGGGGATGTGGGGATATGTTGTATTTTGGGATACTTTTGGGTTTTGTAAAAATGTATTTTTCTTTCTGCTAAAGTTAATTGAGTTAGTCCATTGTCTTTGTTAATTCTATCGCAGGCAGAGGGGAGGGTTTGTGTACAGTAACTAGGAGTTTTCAAGTGTAAAACTCTGTTTTTAGTGGATTGTGCATTTCATGTCCTGTTCCCCATACTGTATAAAAGAAGCAGCTGTACCATTAAACCTTCAGTTCAACTTGACCCTCAACTCACAGCCTCGACTCGTGTTTGGAGGGGACAGCTATAATCACTACAGAGATTGCTACGCTCTTCATACTCCCTTGAATAATCACTAAGCTCCTTTGAATAATCACTAAGCTCTCTGAAGGAAGAGAGGTTCACCCACTGGAGCCTGGAGCCTTGTCGTAGGTCCAGGGTGGGTAGGAGACGGCGAGACCCAAACCAAGCTTATGTTGCTTATGTTATCTGGTGCAGTGCTGATGGTCCTTGGTAAGCGCTAGGAGCATCCATCTACGGTCCAACCCTCAGCTAGCCTGGGGCAAACCTAACAGCCAGGTATCAATATAAATATGGAATACCGTATACACCTTATCACTTCACATTGTAAAGTTGTATCATGCCATAATAGTGTACATATTGTATCAAGCTACAGAGAGGGTACAGATTTCTGTGATCTAGCATTAAAGTATTAAAAGTGGTTTAACAATGTTCCGATACTAAAACCACTTCATTGAAATGACAGTGCCTACATTGTTCCTGTAATGTTATGGCTATATATAAGGATTGAAAGATTGACAAGAATCGCATATTATACCAAAACAGTGAGCTTGTAGGTTAGACTACATAGCAGCACAACTGCTTATGTAATTCGATTCGTACAGAGAAGGTTTAGTAGTTGAGAGGGAAATGAGAGAGTTATGTTATGGAGAGAATGAGTTTCGAGATGTGCGTAATATTGCAGTTTGACACTAAGGAGAGGCTATTTGTGACAAGATGCAAGAGGGAGAGATAAATCTGTGTCATTGTCAGGAACGTGTTAACGTTGGTTGCAGAATGTATCAGAACTACAAGGAAATGTAGCAAGATTTATTATCAGCCCTGAGAATGCTTAAAGGGAAACTATAGTGCCAGGAAAACAAAGTTGTTTAACAGGCACTATAGCTCCCAATTGTGCCCCCTTCATCTCCCTCTTCTCCCCCCCTTTAAAACTCTTTTGTCACTTACCTGAATCGAGCACTGAAGTCTATTGGCACTGGATCGGCCTCCGCCTCTGCTCCTCCCCGCGGACATCAGCTGGCATGGGAGACCTAATGCGCATGCACGGCAATGGCCCTGCTTGCATTAGTATTTCCCCAATAGAAAAGCTATAAGTATATAAGTATAATGCTTTCCTCTAGGGTTTTACATGACGCTGGATGTCTTCATGCATAACGTGAAGATGTCCAGTGTCAGCAAGACGACCCGGAAGTCTCTCTAGTGGTGTCTGGTAGACAGTCACTAGCGGTGGAGTTAACCCTCAAAGGTTATTATTGCAGTTTATAAAAACTGCAATAATTACTTCTGCAGGGTTAAAGGGCTATGCACCCAGACCACTTCAATGAGCTAAAGTGGTGTCTATAAAGTCTTGGTGCCTATAATGTCCCTTTAATTAAATCTAGTAAGAAGAAAACAATTCTGATTTAGTTGATCACAATTTAAACTTTGTAAATAAGCAATTCAATTGTTTCTTAGTGAGTAATGAAAAGGGAAAATAGATGATTTTGTTAACATTGATTAAAAAGTCTAATAAGAGCCTCATTGTTAGACCTGAAAATCTTAATATATTGTCTTAATTACTGAAATTTAGTCTCCACAATGAGAAGTGTAACCGTACTTTGTTAGATGGTCCATATCTACCTAACATCCATTTTGTATATTTATAATATTTAGGTTATTGATTAGATAGTAGCATTTGATTTATTTTAGTAACTACAAAGTCAAAAAAGGGAGGGGGTAATTAAGACAATATATTATTAAGATTTTAGGTCTGATAAAGGGGATCTTAGTAGATTTGTTTTATTGTAAATAAAAGTTACATTTTTAGTCATCTCTTTTGCCTTTTTCGCTATTCACTCAGAAATAATCTCTTTGCTTTCTTTCCCGTACGTGTAATATTGGGGTTACCCCCTGTTTCCCTTTGTTTCTTAGTGATTACTGAATCAACTAAACTTTTCTTCTCTTAATACATGTTCAGCCTATGGTCTCAAAACTCAAATATCCCAAATGTAATCCAAAATGCTCCAGAAAAAAATGTTATGTAGGCTTATTATGACACCTCAAAAATACATAACTACTTTAAATATTTACTTTGTTAAAAAAAAATAATACAAAAAAATATATATATATATATATCTCAAATTATATAGAGTTTTTACCCATTTGAGTAAATCCACCAATGCAAAAACTAGATAATATTTAAATTATAGAGCTAATCACCTTATTTATTCATTACATTTTGATGTATTTGCAAATATTTTTTACGTAATAGCATAAGTTAGAAAACCATATCATATTGCACGATCCATGGTTCTTTCTGACAATGTTAAGGCCGACTAGACTGTATCAAATCTTAATCACTGCATTTCACAAAACATTTTTGTTAAGCTATAACGAGTTCTTCTTTCACCCACAGAATCATTTCATACCCAATTATAAAACCAAATCAATTCGAAACATCTCTTGTTAAATACAGCAATTGTCTTCCATTACACACAAAATGAAATGTAGAATAATTTATCATATCCTTACCAGAACCCCATTCCAGATCGGACAAGCAATTTGAACACTCCATCCAATAAACAGGGGTTGGTAGCTAAATACCGGAAAAAATGCTATAACTCCTGAAACCATGCTTATTATGCCAAAAGCAATTAGAATTCCACCAGCACACTGATAGACGCTCATTATTTTCCATAAAGATACTTTTTTACGTTAAGACAGACTTGTAACAAGTGGTGTTTTCAAGGCACTGTCTGTAAACTCATGTTCCTTAGAAACTGTAGTCAAGACACAAATCCATTGTTTACACATGTTAACCCAAGAAGCTGTTTGCTTTTAATTATTTCCGGAGAGAAGAGAGGTTGGCCAACAAATAATCTACTCTGAGGCTGTAGAAGATAGCAAAGCAATTTCCTCTGAATAACATTCTATTGTCTTTATGTTGGTTACCTGTAGATTCCTTTGGAAAGGAATTTGCCTTTACCATGTTACATCATTTCTAAAGGAAAACATGTCAAGAATGTATTCACACTGGGTAAATAAGGCCCGAGTCTAAACCATTCCAACTTTCAACTAAACTTTCAACTTAAAGTTTCTAAATGCGAAAAATTGAAATTAAAGTCTATCTGTCACGTGAGAGTTTGAAGGTTTATAAACGTTAAGATTGATTTGTGCATCGTACTTGTGGAATTTAAAACAGATGTGTACGTGTGAGACGGAACTTCATTCATTTCACCTAATGCCTCTCTCCTGATATGATTGTCTGGACCAAAAAGAAAATGTATTTCTGTGGGCAAAGCGATGCCAAGGGAACAAACTGCACTATACGTATGGAACAGTAATTACTACATTTGCATTTGGTCAAATGTTTAGCGGCATTCAGGATTGATGATTAAGGTGTGAATTCCGAGTAAGTTTCACATTTTAGGCAGCAAACTTATCCAAGTGAGATTTTAGAAATTCAGCTATTTTGGCCTAAAACTTGAAAATCTGCTTTCTTCACAACATCAACAAAAACATAAATCAATTTAGCTTCTTTAAATGGAGACCATTCAATACAGATTAGGTAGGTTTGTTTTTTATTTTTCTATGTAGTGTGTTTGAGCAGCATCGTGGCAGAGGCAGTGCACATTCCTGGTCTCTCAGTGTGATTGTCAGTATAATAGCAGTGTTATGTAGGGAGATGACTTTACATTAAATGTTGCTTCATAATATCCACTTTATATCTGCCATTAGGGGAGCACTGAGAAACTGGATAGAGGAACATGCATTGCTTCTGCATTAATTGTTTTCGGCCATAGTCCAAGTAACAGAGGGTGTGCGCTCACACAAAGGGGAATGAACAGAAAATGTATTTCAAGGCCACTTACTCAATCAAACAGTCAGAAGGGATATTAAAGGAACACTATATGGTCAGAAACAAAAATGTGTATTCCTGACCCTATTGTGTTAAAAAACCATGCTTGTGCCCTTTGCCCCCCTTAAATAACTAGAAAACGCACCGGGTCCACCGGTGATAGCTTTGCCCCCGATCCACCTCCTTGGCTGACATTACCAGAATTGATGATATCAGGCAATTATAATGCATTTGATTGGCTGAGATCGTCATTTCTAATTATCTCAGCTAAGGAGCCAGGGGAAGAGCCAAGCTCTGCCATGGCCAGTTTAGCATCTCCTCATAGAGATGCATTGAATTAATATATCACTTTGAGCAAAGTTCAGTGTCTCCATGCAGAGGGTGGAGACACTGAATGGCAGTATTGCACAAAGTGCAGCACTGCCCCAGGAAGCACCTCTAGTGGCCATCTGAGTAGTGCCCACTGGAGGTGTCCCTAGGCTGTAATGTAAACACTGTCTTTTTTCTGAAAAGACACTGTTTACAGCAAAAAGCCTGCAGGGACTGATTATACTCACCATAACAACCATATTAAGCTGTAGTTGTTCTGGTGATTATAGTGTCCCCTTAATGTGTCTTTTTCTGAGACACGCCAAAAGAGGTTCCTGTTACTGTCATTTCATCTAATTGAATTATTTATAGTTACTACAGTGTTCAACCATTTTTGAGCAGTGTAAGACCAAATAATAGCCTCAGACCACCCACAGCCCGATCTCTACTGGAAGCACTGGCGGATCCAGGGGGGGGGCAACGGGGCAATTGCCCCCCCCCAGAAATCCGCCGGTCTCCCTCTCCCCTGCCAGGACATGCAGGTGCTAGCCCTGCAATGTGCCTGCGGACCGGAGGGGAGATCTGAGATCTCCCTCCCCGGTCCGCAGGCACATTGCTGACAGCCGGCAGGGGAGGGAGGGAGTGAGAGGGAGGACCCGGGAGCTCAGTCTGCAGCTCCTCCGGGTTCTCCTCTCGCGAGATTTGGAGAGTTGCCAACGCTCCAAATCTCGCGAGAGTGAACTCTAGCCCGGGAGCGCGGGCTAGAGTTCACTGTAACCACTGGGACCACCAGGGAATCACCACTGGGACCACCAGGGAATCACCACTGGGACCACCAGGGATGAAAATATGTCCCCCCTCCTCCTCAATAAAGGTAAGAAGGGAGGGGGGACATATTTGTTTTTTTTAAATTAAATAAAGATATATATTTAAAAAAAAAAAGCCCCCCCCCCCTACCCTTAACACACACACATACACACACATAGCCCCCATACTGCCCCCTATACACATGCTGCCCACCCATACAGCCCCCCCATACACACATACTGCCCCCCATACACACATACTGCCCCCCATACACATACTGCCCCCCATACACACATACTGCCCCCCATACACACATACTGCCCCCCATGCTGCCCCCATACACATACGTCTCCCCCATACACACAATATACTGCCCCCATACACACATACTGCCCCATAACATACTGCCCCCCATGCTGCCCCCCCATACACAACATACCGCCCCCATGTTGCCCCCATACACACATACTGCCCCCATGGTGCCCCCCATACACACATACTGCCCCCATACACACACAGATATCTGCTCCTCTATACACACATACTGCCCTCATACACACATACTGCCCCGCATACACACACACTGCCCCCATACACTGCCGCCCCATACACACACATTGCCCACATTCACACACACACTGCAACTGTTACACACACATACTGTCCCACACATACACTGCATCCCTGACATACACTGCCCCCCCTACTCACACACTACAACCTTCACACACACACACACTGCTCACACACTGTCCCCCTCACACACACACACACACTGCACCCCTTACACATTGCACCACACACACACCACTGCTCCTATGCCCTACTACCGCCCCATTTCCCAGCAGACCTCAGGTAAATTGTCAAACTGTTCTTAAACGGTTTGACTACTTACTCTAGGAGGGGGTCCCGGCACTATTGACACCATAACCACTACACTGAGCTGTAGTAGTTATTGTGTCTGGATTATTTCTTTAAATAATCTACAAGTGCCCCTCCCGAGATCAGGCTCTGGATCCGCCACTGGCGGCCATAAAGTGGCTCTGTGGACTCTCCCGTGGAGATCACACTAATGGCTTGAATTATGTCACATAGTGGGGCTGGGCACTTTGCTGGGTTCTCAAAATATCTTTATTTGTAGTGAAATGTACAGACAGAGAAACTGGGGACCTCCCTGCAGCATAAACTATGCCAGGAGTATAAGTGGTTGAATGATGAGGGATTCCAGTTCATACCTCTACACTTTGTAGTCAGAAATCTACACCGGTCAGAGACAACCAGTGACCCACGTATCCCCAACAATGGATCTGAGACAATCAATCAGTGACCCCCACAATGGGTCAGAGACTAACTGTGCCCCCCCACAATGCTCGCCATATAATCATAGGAAGCCATGCTCATGTATTTCCAACCAGACAATTACCAGTATTTATAGAGTGCCAACATGTTCCACAGCGCTGTACATCAGAAAACAAGACAAACGTTTCATTATAACAAGACACATATGACATGCTGGTACATTTGATAAAGCGGTCCCTGTCCAAACAAGTTTAGAATCTGAAGACTATACCCTATAGGCATCAACTTCCCACCATTCCTTGCAGACGCACGAGGATTAGTGGGCAACGCACAGGGAATCATGGGCTATTTGAATTAGCTTTTTGTTGGCCAAACTGGCATCCCTTACAAATTATTTAAATCCAAAACAAACAGTAAAAAGCAAAAATGGCATATTTTCGGTTAGACATTAAAATATGCTTTACCTCCGAAGTTCCTCTTTAGCTATATCAGCCATGAAGAAAGGTTAACAAATTTAAACCTCTTTAGTTTAGAAACATGTTGCCTGAGAGGTAATATGATAACATTATACAAATATATTCGGGGCCAATACAAACCATTGTGTGGAAATCTATTCACAAACCGGACTTTACATAGGATACGAGGCCATGCGTTTAGACTGGAAGAAAGAAGATTTTGTCTAAGGCAAAGGAAAGGTTTTTTTTTTTACTGTAAGAACAATCAGGATGTGGAATTCTCTGCCTGAAGAAGTGGTTTTATCAGAGTCCATACAGATGTTTAAACAGCTACTAGATGCATACTTGCAAAAACAGAATATTCAAGGATATAATCTTTCAATGTAGGGTAATAGCTTCTTGATCCAAGGATAAATCTGACTGCCATTCTGGGGTCAAGAAAGAATTATTTTCCTAGTTTGTGGCAAAATTGTAAGTGCTTCAAACTGGGGGGTGGGGGGTGCGCCTTCTTTTGGATTAACAGCAAAAAACAAGTGTGAGGAAGGCTGAACTTGATGGACACAAGTCTCTTTTCAGCCTATATAACTATGTAACTATATACTATGTAACTATATTACAACCAGCGGCCCGACACGCACTTTCACTGATAAACATCTTATCGATTTAATGTGCACAGATCAAACTCTACATAATGACGCATTATGAGTTCTAATAGGCATCTTTCATTTTTCTGTCGGGCACATTTATCTTGTCACACTAACGTTTATTCACTAAACTTCAAATTGTGGGGAATTGAATTGAAAATGGCAACATTTAGTGTTAAACATGCAAAACTGTAACTATAGCTGCTTGGACAAGTGGTTACAGATCAGTTAATTTAGTATATATTTGCCACCATTCAGAGTTTAGTGAATAAATCCCTCGGTAGCCCATTTATTTATCACAAAGCGTTCAATAAAGCTATATTCTTACATCACAGTGTCAGAGAAATAGTAACAGCGCAATGTCTGCAATAAGAAGCTATCTGCCAAAATTCTCAGGAGGTGGC